ACAGTGACCTCCAGGTGCACGGTCCCCTCCAGTGCCCAGGCAGGAGCCAGATAGGGGCTGCCCCATGGACTAAAGAGCATCTTACCAAGGACTCACCTCTTGGGTTTCTGCCATCGGGGGTGTGTGTCTGCCTGGGCCACATGGAGCGAAGCTCTTGGCCTGGCGTCCGCGGGCTGTCATGTTGCTCCCTTACAGCCTTTGTTCTGTGAATTCAATATTTATTGATGGCTGTGGGAGCCGCGGGGGCCTAATTACCTGACACTCGGGGGCACCAGCGCTGACCTTGATTACAAGATGACCTGTCTCCTGCACAGATGGCGGACGACTCCCCCCGGGTGAGAGGCTGCTCCTGCAGGGGGGCCCTCGGGAAGAATCGGGCAGTGAGATCCTGCTCTGGAGCCCTGACACCGGCAAGCCGGCATGCTTGCCCTGAAAACCGGGAACTGTGCCCGTGCTCCAGGCCCGATGGGGACTCCTGGAGGCCGGGTGTCCTCACGGCATCTGAGGCCCAGCCGGTTAGCCGGGTAGACACCCTAGGGATGGCGCAGGCCTGGTCAGGTCCAGAGAGGCAAGGTCTGTAGAGATGACGTTAGTGTGAGAAATGGTTGGTTGTCTGCTGGTGACAACCCTCAGGCCCCCGGTCGGAGGGGCCAGCCGAGGAGCTCTGGAGTCGGTGCAGCCCGGACCTCCCGACTATGTTTCCACAAGGTGGCAGGGGCATGACTCCTTCACTCATTCATTTGCAAGCATGCATCAGGCCCTGACCCACCTTAGGGAGCAAAGCCACTCGAGCCCTGGCTGGGCTGTCCTGCTCTCCAGCGGGCAAGGAGGGATGGAGGGCCGCGTGTGCATTCGAGAGGACAGAGCTAAGGCCCAGGCTGAGGGAATGGGGGGCCAGCCAGCCCTCAGGGTCACGCTCCCTGGGACTCCCCCAACATTTCTGGAACACAGGCGTGTGCTTTGCAGACACCAACAGAGCGTCGGTTACTATTACGGAGGCTACTCCTGGCTCACCCAGCATGCCCGGCTCTGCCCACTACTCACTGGAGAGGAGGCAGGCCCGAGGAGGCGCAGCTGGACCGCCGGGGTGTCAGAAGATGGGATAGTGAGCTTTAATGTGTTGATGTGACTGGTGGTGGGGCCAACATCTGGTCAGACATCACTCTGGGTGCGTGTGTGCAGGTGCCCTCCCCACTGTAGGGCTCGTCCACTCCCCTGGGGGCCTAGGGACAATGGCAGAGGAGGGAGGGATGCTCTCTGCCTGTCCAGGCTGGGACATCGGTGTCCAGCCCCTGGACTCAGCTCTCCTGGGCCTCCGGCTTCCCCGCCACAGATATCAGATGTCTCAGCTCCCACACCTCTATGAGCCAATTCATCCTAGCAAACATGGTTTTCCCCTGGTGGGCAGCCAGGCCTGCCCCGCCCTGACAAGGGACAGCTCGCCACCACCCTGGCGCCTGAACACGGGACGCCCTGGACCACTTCCCCTGTCCAGGTGTGGCTTGGACTCAGGGTAAGATGATGCACAGCACGTGGCCCAAAGCTCTGGTCGGCTGGAGAACAGATGGTTACTGTGGCAACAAGATGACCAGGAGTCTCATTAAGGTCCTAAGTGACATCATGAACACAAAGAGCCGGCCGCTGGTGGTCCCACGTGATAATGTGCGGCAGCGCTGGCCCTGGGTCGGCGGTGTGACGGCCGGCGACTGCCTCCTTCCCAGGATGGCTGCAGCCTTGTCTGGCAGTCTGGGCGGGGTCCCTACAACCTCTCCCTGTGTCCAGCCTGGAGGGGGTGTCTGGGAGGCGGAACACCATCCAGGCAAGGCTCCGAGCAGCCGGACAGCAACAGAACGAGCGCCCCCACCCCGACCCCGAAGCTCCTCCGAGGACTTCCGACTATTCCTATTCTTCGGTGATGGCAGCCACACTGCTGTCCCCGAACAGAGAGACGGACCACCCTTCTGTCGAGGGCGAGGCGGACGTGGCCCCTTCCTCCCTCTGGTTCAGGTGCAGAGGTGCTCGCGTCCCAGTTCCCCAGCCAGGCTGAGGAAAAGGTTGGGCTTGCCACGTGTGTGCAGGGAGCCCACCTGAAACCACAGACAGCTCTGGGGATCCCAACCCACCCATCCCGTTCTCATTGATTATTCTTTTTTTTTTTTTAAGTTTTATTTATTTATTTGAGAGAGAGAATGAGATAGAGAGAGAGAGCATGAGAGGGGGGAGGGTCAGAGGGAGAAGCAGACTCCCCGCAGAGCAGGGAGCCCGATGCGGGACTCGATCCCGGGACTCCAGGATCATGACCTGAGCCAAAGGCAGTCGCTTAACCAACTGAGCCACCCAGGCGCCCCTCATCGATTATTCTAGAGCTTTCTAAGAAGTGAAAATTGAACTCTGGATTTGATAAATCATTATAATGCAATGTTAGCTTTATTCAGAGAATCTCTGTATTCCTTAAACATCTATGCCCTTTCCAATTACAGCCATAATTTACTTGTCTTTGTGAAATGTCAGGTTACTGCTTCATAGGTAACCAGGTGGAGACCAAGGAGGGGAAGGCATCATTAGCTAAGGAAATAAGTGCAGCCAGGGACCAACTTGGGCAGCTGCTGATAGCAATGAGCAACTCGGCCTTGTGGGGAGTGGACTTCAGCCTCTGATCCTGAAAGTGTTTTATGTCATACACACCCCCCAACACCAGCCTACTGGGGAGACCCCCTGCTGCAGGACTGCCCCGCCTTTCACTTGGTGACACCTGTGTGGGGCCGAGCCCAGAGGAAGTCCTCCCTGGAGCCCTCAGGGTCCCACGTCTGGGCCACGCTGACCCTAGGCACATGTGCACAGGCCCACGTGTGGGCACGGTGGCATGCTGCTGAGGGGCACGTATGTGGTCAGCCTCACGTGGACCGCCCCAGGGGTATTGTGTGCACAGGCCCGTGTGCTCCCCAGCACCATCTCTCCAGAGGACAGCAAAGCTAACCAGCTTTGCTGCCCACACACCTCCCCGTGAAGGGGGACATCTGCCCTGAGTGGGGACCCCACGTGCCCTCCTGCTGGTCTCATTCCCTGTCACTACCGAGCTGCCTCCTGAAAAAGCAAAGGGAGTGGGAGGGCTCAGACCCAGGCCTTGGGGAACTCGCAGTCTCCAAGGGCAGCACGCTGGGGGAGATGGCCCGTGGAGGCGCAGCTGACCAGCTTCTCCCCACAGGTGGGCATCCTGCTGCACTACTCCACACTGGCCACCATGCTGTGGATCGGGGTGACCGCCAGGAACATCTACAAGCAGGTGACCAAGAAGGCCCCACCGTGCCCGAGCGCAGACCACCCGCCATATCCCAAGCAGCCCCTGCTCAGGTACCCGAGCACACACATGCCTGGCCACCTCCACCACACTGGTCCTGGGCTAGCAAACTGGTTCACAGGGAAACTTGGGGTCCAAGGACGAGCCAATCTGCACAGATGGCCAGGGTTGGGGCGGGGCACTGGGGGCAGGGTGGGGTGCCGGAGATGGGATGTCGGGGTGCTGGGGTAGAGCGGTGTGCCGGGGGCTGGAGCCACAGGTGAGGGGGCCGGTGTGTCCCTCTGCCTGCTGGGCGCGTCTCTGTGTGACTGAGCTCCACGCCACAAGGGGCTACGGTGGAGACAGCTCTGGGTGGTGGATCCGTGCTCCGGCCTTGGCAGCGGTTCGTTCATGGGTCTCAGTGAGCTGAGGCACCTGCTCATTAGCTGGGAGAAACTGAGGCGGCTCAGTCGCCAATCCCAAGGTGGCCATGTGGCCTGGGCCTTTCAAGGCTGGGTGGCAGGTGGGTTTGGAGACTGTTACTTGGTCAAGCTGGGAGGGCTCATGGTGGGCAGGTGGTCCCCGTGAGGGGACTGTTAGACTGTGGCCTGGGCCCTGGGCCCTGGGCCATGGACACCCAGCCCCTTGGACTGAACTCTGTCCAGGTCCAAATTTGAAGGGCCATCGGGGAATACCTCAGTGCACCTAAAACTCATCAGAAGAACTCATTTTGAGGCAGATAAAACAATGCCCTGTGTTGTTTAATAAATAAGGTGACCTCCACCAGAGGTTTTTCTGACCCTGAGTTTCTGGAGCTAGCCGACCCTTTGCCACACACCTAGCAGGGCCCATGGCGCTCGCTGCTGACGCGGGCTAGGGAGGCGGGGTGTCCATACCTCATTCCTCTTGCCAGGGAGATCCCGTTCCCTAGGGTTTAAGAATCACTCTCAGAATGAATGTCCTGGTCTGTCACTGATTGAAAAGCTGCCTGGCTTTTTGAAGAATGACATGGCGGCCTCAGAATATTCTGGAGGCTTTTTCTCTGATGGTGTCACATGTACATAATGAACCAGACTCCCAGGTGCCCCAGGGAGCAGTGGGCCCCGGGCCTCAGGGGGCATGTGTCCCAAGGGCTATGGACTCTGTGGGCATGTGCCCCATGGGCTGTGGGCTGTGTGGACATGTGCCCCGTGGGCTGGAAGCCTCATGGGCATGTGCCCTGTGGGCTGTGGGCCCCATGGGCATGTGCCCCGTGGGCTTTGGGCTCCATGGGCATGTGTCCCTTGAGCTGTGGGCTTCATGGGCATGTGCACCTAAAACTCGTCAGTGGGCTGTCCTGTGGGCTGTGGGCTCCAGGCTCCGTGGGTCTGTGTCCTGTGGGCTCTGTGGACATGTGTCCCGTGGGCTGTGGGCTCTGTGGGCACATGCCCCGTGGGCTGTGTGCCCCGTGGACATGTGCCCCGTGGGCTGTGGCCTCATAGGCATGTGTCCCTCGGGCTGTGGTCTCCAGGCTCCGTGGGTATGTGTTCCGTGGGCTGTGGCCTCATGGGCATGTGTCCTGTGGGTTCCGTGGGTATGTGTTCCATGGGCTATGGGCTCTGTGGGCTCCATGGGCATGTGCACCTAAAACTCATCAGTGGGCTGTCCTGTGGGCTGTGGGCTCCAGGCTCCATGGGCCTGTGTCCCGTGGGCTGTGACCTCATGGGCATGTGTCCTGTGGGCTCCGTGGGCTCTGTGGGCATGTGTCCCGTGGGCTCTGTGGGCTCCGTGGGCATGTGTCCTGCAGGCTCTGTGGGCATGTGTCCTGCGGGCTCTGTAGACATGTGTCCCGTGGGCTC